TGCACCTTGTTGTCTCGGATTCTCCAGCATCTGCAGTTCCTACTATCTCTACATCTGAATGTGTCAGTCTTCTGTTTGTTTTCTTTTATTTTCTAACAATTTCTACTCAGTAGCATTTCTCCAAATGATGTGGAAAAACATATAATAATTATTTTTAAATAGCAAGCACAGTGTGTGTATATGTATGGGAGAATGAGAAAAACAAGTGATAATTCCGGTCACAAACCTATTTGTTTTGATAACCTTCAGAAAGTGAATTACATTGAGGAAGGAGAAGTAGACTAGCAAGAAAGAAGGTGTGTGGGTGTGAGAGAGAGAAAGGAAGAAGGAGCAAGTTTATATAAATATAATAAATTAAATTTGAACCTAATTATTCATTTGCGCTTGCTGTTTGAAATGATAATTGTTATTCTTTACATCTGGGAGATAAAGGTTTGCACAGTAAATACCTATTAGAGTTGGAAAATACGAGTCAGAGGCTTTAAACATTTACCATAATTAAAAACACTATTTCTGACAAAAATGTCAAGTTGATCTAACCGTACAATAATCAACCACAATTTATATTAAAATTTAATCTAAAACTAAAAGAGATCAGAAAACAAGCAGATCAATTGCACACACTTCAGCTTGATTCACAAATGTAGCTTTTCTGTTTCAAATTAGTTAACTATAAATCATTCTGAAAGATGTTTAAGTTAAATGGAGTGATCTCAATCCAAGAATGTGGGGAGACATTTGTGTTTCTTTGTTCAAAGATCCCAGTAATTGTAAACATTGCCAAATCTTTTTTGTGTTTTTGTGTTTTGAAAAGTGGAATGTGCATATTCATAAAAGCTTGATCCTTTGTCTTCCTGTTTCCAGCCACATGATACATGGCCTGTCATGTAAATTAAATACATACATCACAGTCTACTTTATGTTGTTAATTATGTTGGTTAGTTGCTAAATGGTGACAGATTCAAATGAGGCTTGGATTGATGTGGAATGCAATTTCCCATCTGAAATCAGTGGATTAAATACATTACAGTCAAGTCTAGGCAATCTCTCTTTAAGTTCCTAATTCACTTTTATTTCACTGAGTAATATTGCTGGCAGCATTCAGTAAATTAATTAGCAAGTCACATTGATCAAATACAGATAAATATATTAACACTAACTCATCTATGAAACAATGGTGAATATTTTCAAACTCCACCCACAATGTGCAGGAAATGTACAGGGAGTCTACACTGCACTGCAGCAGGCTCACAAGATGCTGAAACGATTTTTAGATGTGGGCTACATCACATGCAGCTCATGAGCTTTGGATTCTAAAGTAAGCGTTGTTTTGTGTGAGAGTGGGAAATCAACAGATATCTACCTTGATTCAGATGTCAGTTTGGACTTGGGATAGCAGTAGTTAATTTTAGAATGGTTGAAAACCTGCCTGTAGACAGGCTGCAGTATAATTGTAGATTCAGGAACAAATGTCTTTTCCCACAAAACTAAAGGCATAAGAGAATTTGGAAAACTTGACTGGAGCAGTCATTAGTGGGTACATTAAAGTTTGAGATTTAGTCCATGTAATGGGTGTACCAGAATCTTAGAGGCTGCTGCCAGAGGTGAACAGAGACGGGACAAAGCCTTTGTTGAAGTTAGTCTTGGCGAATATTCAGTACTGCAACCCAGTGGCCCGTTGTTTTTCCACAGTTAAGTAGCCTCCACTCCAAATAAGCAGACAAGCTTGTTGACCCATTTAGATGTACACACCACAGCCAAAGTTGGCTTTTTGGCTTCTCTTGCAGCCATCTGATTCACAGGTAAAATAGAAAAGACAAGGTGTATTTATATAGTGCTGTTCACTGTTCACATTCTCATAGTGCCACAGTGTGTCTCAAATGAGTTATGGAAGTTGGTGATTTAGTATAGGAAGCTGTAATAGCTAATTTGATTCATTAAGATAGAGAATCAAGACGATTATCCTGTAATTATTCTAACTGGCCCAACTTTTGTGTTCTGAACACATTGCAAGGATTTCAGGCACTGGCATTCCTTTATGTTTAATTGTTTAATTCAGAGGTATAAATGACATAAGTCTGATTTCACACCAACATCAAATATTATCCAAATTGAAATTCTTGGATATAATAGTAAGGTGCTGAACAACTGTCTTGTGCATCCCTTTTTGAACCCCTGAACATTGCCATTGCTTGGCCCATTGGTCTACTGCATTCACAGAGTCATAGAGGTCCACAGCATGGAAAAAGGCCCTTTGGTCTCTCAAGTAAGTGCTGTATTAAAGCAACTACCTAACTATTCTAATCCTATTTTCCAGCACTTGGCTGATAACTTAGTATGCCTTGGCATCACAGAATAGCCAGATTATCACAGTTTAATCAATAATCCTTAAAGAGATTATTGGAGGTCACCGCCACAAACTCAGTTATTTCAAAATATATTACCTGAATGTGAAACTTTGTTAATCTGAGGATTTGAATGAAAAAAAGCAAAATAACTGTCAAATTAAATAGGTCCCATCATTACTCAGGAAATGAAAGACAACTGCAATCCATCACATTCACCTTGGCACTTAATGACTTAATGAGCTGTTGAATATAAGAAAAACAAATGTAATTAATTTACTATAGAAGATAAAGAGAGCCCAATTTATTGATTTTCTTGGAACTATTAAAATATTTACTTTACTGCTTCGCAATAGATCTCTTTCAGTGGAGATATGAACCTATCAGCCCATTTTACCCCTCAACTCCCACATTTCTGATAGCTCAATCTCTGGCTGATCATGAGAAATATCTGCCAGGTCATAGAGTCATAGAATTGTACAGCACGGAAGCAGACCCTTCGGAGGTCTGCTAGAGCCATTGAGAAATGCAATCTGGAACACATACGTGTTCACAGACTAGTGGTTTAGCATTAAGTATTTAATCTCTTTTTATATGCAATTTTCAGATATGGTTTAATTTGGGGTGTGAGACATTACATTGTGAAATAATTAAATAAATTTTTAATTGGATGGACTAGCCTCAAGTATTATCTTCAGTATGTGAAAATGCATTGTCTGTGTATTCAATGTAGTACAAACAGAAACATATTTTTTCATAATTTTTGGAACAAGTTGGGAGAGAAGATTAATATAAAGTAAAATATAATCAGAATGACAGATCTACATTACCTCAAGTTTGGAAGTTTTCCAGCTGTACTTTCAGGAGTTTTTGCTGAAGATACTCCAAACAGTATTTTTTTCCAGGATACCATGGCTCATTAGCTGATAGTGGTCAGTTCCTTTTTGATGGAATCATTGAAAAGTAAAACTGTCATTTATTTCCAAAATCTATCTTTTTTTTAATACTCATAAAACTTCAAGATGTCAGTGCTGACAAAGGAAACATATTCTTCTTTTGGTCAGTAGTAAAAATTCCCAAATTGAGTGTAGAATTTCTATTCCCAAATGAATTTTCTTTTGATGTTACTATAACTTATGCTGCATTACAAACAGTTTTACCATGAGATCCTATCCAGTGAAAGTGGCTGAGTTTATCTAACTTATACATTGGATCCTCCAAGCAGAGAGGAAATATCTGCAATTTTATCAAATCCTAAAAGTGAAGACCAGTGCTGATCCATTGCATCAATCCATAAACTAACATATTATCCCATTAAGCTGTCATATTTATTAACAGTCTAATTTTAACCAACTGCCTAAATTTAGAATTTATTGACGCATAGTCTGCAGTTGGACAAACAATCTACAGTTGGAAATGATATGTGCAAAGTTTCATAATGTTATTTTTCTTGTTCCTGCTTTACATGTTCTAGAATACATCTGTTGAGTCAAATTAAATACAATTCGCTGACCCTTCAATGAAGATTCGGAGTAAGTGGGACAAGCTCCCAAATGGAAAAACACCTTCTAACATTCAACTAAGCTATAGAGACAGAATATTTGATCCCTATAATATGACAACTACAATTTATATGCATGAGCTGAAATGGAGAGAGCATCAAAAGAAATACCTTCTACACATTGAACCGCTGATGTAAAGTGGATGCTTGTACATAGCAGGTTACAAGGAGAGCAGGTTCAGCTATAGTTCCCTGAAAATACATTGTCAAAGAGCACACATGAAGAATAACAGTTTGCGTGTGATTCTTGGAAAATGCAACATTTGTGAAACTTAGTGACAGTTAGTGCAGTCAAAATTGGTAGGAGAAGAAAAAAGTAGAGATGTAAAAAAATTAAATAAATATTTGCTATTGATACAAATTAAGGCTTATTTACCAACACATGATTGACTCGGGTCGAAAATGCAAGCCAAATCATACAATAGGAAATTCAAGTGATATTGATGCTGCATCAGGTGTAGATGTGAAATTGACTGGCCAAAAATTAGAGAAATTCACATTTATTTCCATTAATATTAAATTACACTTTTTAAAAAACAATGTTAGAGATATTATGACTGTTGCAGGAATTGTGATTTGCTAGCAATTCAAGCCTCAATAAATATGATGCTAATTACATCTGGATCTCTTTGATCCAGAGAAAATTTCAGGGTGGTTTGTTCAGACCTCAAAGTAAATACTTGAGGCTGTCAAAATATCTTTTCAATGTAGATTTCAGCCTTGTGTCATAAATTATAATCTAATCCTCGAAGAAAATACTTTATTTTAAAACATAAAACTTATCAAAATCAAGCCATTGCCTCTGAAATTCAAGTAACCTAAATGGATGAATGTAACCTCCAGAACAAAGGTAGCTGCATTGTACTAGAAATAAATAATCCTCTCTGCTATCCCATTAAATGTCTTGACATCTCATTAACCAGAATCTTTTTCACTCTGGCCCCATAGAGGCTTTGTGAAAGATTTTATCTGCATGACAGCTGGCCCAAGTGTTGTACCATGAGCACAATGCTCCTGAAATAGTCAATGTGGGCAGATTAAATTTAGGCTGCTTTTAAATTATTTTGGTCACACAAATGCAACAATGTTTAGGAACAATAAAGAAATATGCTGGCTATTATCTACAGATGTGTAAAAAATGAACTTGTCAACATAAAATGAACAAAACTGGGTAAAAGATGGAAGCTGAATTCCGCTATTCTGACATAAACCTGGAGGTAAAATTTGAGAGCCCATCCCCCACCCAAAACAAGATGTGGTGACTGTAATGTAAGCTTTACTTGCACCCCTATATTTTGATGCATGCTACATACAAATATGCTATTGGGCAGCTGCATCACTCAGCTGCAGTTCCAAGTTTGTGTAACCGAAAGTTAACCTTCACTATTTAACGCCTGTCTGGTCTGCACCTCTTAAAGCTAAGGTGTTTTCTAGCTGTTGAAGGTGTGGGATGGGATTCAGAAAGATGACTAAGCAGGGCAGAGAGTGGATTGTCAAGTTCTCTGCTGCAGGGACAGGAGACTTGGGGTGAGAAGTAGATAGGAGCAATAAGGTCCTTCACCCTCAGGGATGAAAGAATCCTCCAAACGTACACTGAGAAGTTAGGAAGAGCAGATAACACTGTTCATACCAGCAATATATGAGGACATGAATGTTAGATTCGATTTGATTTGATTTATTATTGTCAAATGTACTGAGATACAGTGAAAAGTATTGTATTGCATGCTAACCAGACAAATCATACCTTACGTAAGTACATCAGGTTAATAGAACAGAATGTAGAATATAGTGTTACAGTCACATAGAAGGTGCAGGGAAGGATCAACTCTAATATATAAGAGGTCCATTCATAAATTTAATAAAAGCATGGAAGTAGCTATTCTTGTTAAATGTGCTGCTTCAAGAAGTTCAATGATCTCATGAGAGTGGCCAGTGTTACTAAATACATCTTCCAGATGCTGTACCCTATCACAGAACCATGAACAGCACAATTTTGTTCAATTCATCATCATCCCCTTTCACAATTTTATCAATTTTTGTGTAAGGTAATGGTTTTGCAAGGGTTAATGCTAAAGACTGTATTAAGCTCCACCAAATCTGATGATGTTATAATGATGTGGGGAAGGGCAGGACATATTGCAATCACCTAGGAGAGACAGCTGTTGTCCTAAGTCACAGTCTTTTTAACATTGCATATCATCAATTTTTCGTGTACTTTATTGCTATCATGCAATAGACTGCATCTTACTTAAGACAACAATCTGTACTTATTAGGCTACTTCATGCTTTCCTCTACTACTTTAGACCAAATAGACCCTGTAGACGTGATCAGAAATAGAGAATGCTTGCAGTTTCCTAGTCGACCAGATGTTGGCAGTGGTTGGCATCCCATGCTCATACGAAATGGTATGTTGTGGTATGAACTGGAATTTGCTTTAACTGTACAGAATGAATACCAGCGATCTCGGAAGAAATTTTCTGTTATACTTTAAGAGTAACTTAGTCAGATAGTCAGCAGCACAAGGAACTGAACAATCAAGGACTCTGCAGCAAACAAACTTAGGGCAAGTTTCCACAGGACAGAATCTACAGTCAGAAGGAAAAGGCACCACAGACTTGGTAAAACAAGTGCAGAAGTGAGTGTGAGCTAGAAGCTACATAGAGCTGATACAGATTCTATCAGATACTAATGAACTACTTGAGCAGTCCCAGAAAGAGGTGCCGCCAAAGAGAAAGAAGAGACATTGGATGCTCCATAAGTTAAAGTTTCAGGTGAGCAAAGAGAAAGTTTTAAAAAATAAAAGTGCAATTACAGGCTGGAAAGAACAGAAGTTAAAAATATGTACTTCCAGCTCAGACCGAGTGATGCCACCATAGAGGGCAGATACCATAAGGCACAGATACAGTAAGGGAAACTGGGGGCTATAACAGAAGGTTAAACAAGAGGTGCAGCACAGAAAATGTCACAAACACAGAATCAAAGTGACAAAAGGACAATTTAGAAGCCTAAGCAGACAGAGTCTAACAGAACTAAGAAAGTAAGGAGACAAGTGAGACTGCAATAAGAGCAAATGATTCATAATTGAAGCTGTGCTAGGGAGGGAGAATTTACTAAGGCCTCAAAAATCAGCATACTCTTGAAGAGGCCATTACAGTGAATGGAATGCTTTTCTTAAAGTTGTGAGGTAATGAATATTATTAGAAGCTCTGCAAACAGCATAAATAATCTAGGAAATGCTATTAAGCAAACAGGATTCATTTTTAAGGGCACAGGATTTATTTGATAAAGGTGAGGAACATGATAGGAATTATTTGGTCAAAGGGTGAGAAACCTTCATTTTGGCCATAAAAACGTAGAAAAATTCACCAATAAGGGGAGAAAGATTGCTATACTGCACATGTAAAAGACTTTAAAAGAAGGAAAATAAAGCAGCATTGCTATATTACAGGATTAAAAACCTTTAAAGCATCAAAACTAAAGCAGCAATGAAACACTCCAAAATTGAAAAGCTTTAAACTAAAAATAATAAATGATCACATTAGGATAAAACGGCAGGAGAAATAACATTGCCAGGAAGATTTAATTCCAGACATGAATCAAATAGAACACAGAATTGCAGATCTTACAGTTCTTAAGATACAGGACTGCTTCCATACTAGTTGCTAAATCAGAAACTGAACAAGTAAACACGCTTTTGAATTTGATTGCTGATGATGTTAAAGTTAGCCAAGTATTAAAGAAGGCACAGTTACTTTTGATGAAAGCTTCTGGCAACTACGTTAATCTGAGAACAAATGTAACTCTTCAAAGAGCAAGATTAAAAAGTAGAATTCAGCACACAGGGAAATCCATAGAAAAATTCATAAATGACTTATACAGCTTAGAGGAAAAATGTGAATATGGATCTTTAAGATTAAAATTCATAAGAGACAGAATTGTTTTTGGAATTACTGATGAATCTTTCTCAGATTTATTACAGTACAAAGATGATTTGACTGTGGTAAAGCCATTCAGATGATGAGGAAATCTGAAAGAAGCACAGAGAAATCCTAAGAGAAAAGATCAAAATTTTCACTGGAAATGTGCAGAATTCATTCAGTTTATAACATATTAAAACCCTAAAGACACAGTTGACAAGCCAGTCCAAACAACAGGCCAGATTTTTGATTTTAATAGCCAATGTCTGCACTTTGGAACAAGGACCTCACAGATACCAGCAGTAACTAGCTTTTTAAGAAATGGATACTATAGCTGTAAAGCAATAGATTACTTCCAGAAGTTATGCAGAACTAAGACATAGTTACAGAGCATCAGGAAGTCAAGCATGTCATCATATAAATATGTTAGCGAGTTACAGCAAGCTGCAATAAAAAAGATATTGAATTATTCCTAAGGAAAATTAAGTTATCCAACCAGTTTGTTTTAGTAAGAAACAATTTATGTCAATGAACACCTCATTCATTTTAAGTTCAATACCAGGGCACATATCTGCAGGTGTTCCTCAGGGTAGTGTCCTATGCCCAACTATCTCAGCCACTTCATCAGTGGCATTCATATAGTCAGAAGTGGTGATTTCACTGATTACTGGGCAATGTTCATCTCCATTCGTGACTCCTTAGATACTGAAGCAGGCCACGTTCAAATGCAGCAAGACACGGACAATATCCAGGCTTAGCTTGAAAAGTGGCAAGTAAATATTTGTATCACACAATTGTCAGGCTATGACCATCACCAATAAGAGCCAATCTAACCACCATCCCTGAAATTCAATGGTGTTACCATCACTGAAAATTCCCCCACTATCAACATCCTTGGGGTTTACATTGACCAGAAACTGAAATGAACTAGTCCTATAAATACAGTGACTACAAACCAAGTAAGAAACTAGGAATAGTGCAGCAAGTACCTCACCTCCTGACTCTCCAAAGCCTGTCCCCTACCCAGAGGGCACAGGTCAGGAGTGTGATGGAATACTCCCCACTTGTCTTAATGACTACAGCTTCAACAACACTCAAGAATCTTGACACCATCCAGAATAAAGCAGCCCACTGATTGGCACTACATCCACAAGCATCCACTCCCTCTACCACCGATGTTCAGTAGCAGCAGTGTGTACTATCTGCAGGATGCACAGCAGAAATTCACCATAGATCCTTAGACACACCTTCCAAACTCATGACCGCTTCCATCT